CCTAATATAGTACCCTAGATAGTAGGATCCTTATTATAAGATCCCCCAAAAAAGGTACCCCCAGTTTCAGAAACTCCCATCTTGCCCCCCCTAAGGCAAGTGTTGGATCCTGCAGTCCTGCAGTCTGAGTAGCGCTGTACCTTGGCAGCACGTACAACTTGCAACGTCGGGCATGGGACAGGCGGGCAAAGGTTGGGGGGCGGTACGACCATACCAGTGCCGCAATCCTGCAGCAGGGATTTCTCTTCAATTCAGGCATAAAGCAGGACAATCTATCATATACGAGTCTCTTCATGGTTCCATGTCCGTCCGTGTCTGCTTATAGACGTGTGTATGCTTTCCTTCCGCACTGCCGACAAACATCTCCAGCCTTGCGCAAGAGATCAGGCAAGGGACTGCTTGAAATCCTCAGTTGTCTCTGACGTCTAGGCGGACTTGAACCCAAGACTTGTTTCGGAGATTAGCACCTTGGATCCCGGGCTTACAGATTAGAAAGGGTAGTGGAAGGTCTTGGTGCCCCCCGTCCTTGCACCTACAGGCTAACGACGAAACCTATAAATTTTCCTCAGCCGGTGCTGTAAATCCCAGAACTGAACATTCCCTAGATGGCATAAAGGGCCCTTGTAGGGACCTAACTAAACCTAGTTCCAACGGTACTAGTTCGGTATAGCCCGAAGCTGCTTTACATCACTGCTTCCAACTCAACTAGGTCCAAAACTCCTACACTGTTTACACTCCTCGAACATATCCTACAACCCTTTTGCAACAGGCTTTCCGCTTCGCCTGGAGTTGGAACAAGCAGCCCTAGCAGCTTCACTGCGAAGCCAGCGCCGATCAACGGCGTTTGAAAACCCTAAATCCTAGACCCAAAACCCAAAACCCTAGACCCTTAATCCTATAAACCCTAAATCCTAGACCCTAAACCCTAGACCCTCAACCCTAAATCCTAAACCCTAAATCAAACTCTCAACTTCTGCACTTTTTCCCCCTGCGCCGCCGGCCTCTGAGGGTGTTGCCGCCTCCTCACCGAAGACCAGGTTGAGACGGGCTCCTTGTATTATGTTAGGGTTTAGGGTTTAGAGTCTAGGGTGTAGGGTTCAGGGTTGTGTTCGGTTTAAGGTTTTCAGGGTTAAGGTTGGGGCCTACGGTTTAGGCCTTTGTGTTTAGGGTTTCAGCGCCCGCACTCGGACGGACCAGGCGAGGCATGTGGTTCGAGGTCTAGGTTAAGGGTGTAGTGTGTCGGGTGTTAGGGTCTTCCACTGTTCGGTCCATCATCTGGTACGGTTTTCATGTTTCGAGAAAAAGCTTTGGGGGATCCTTGTCCTGGGCGTCAGGGTTTTCCGGGCTTGCTCTGCTTTTGGCATTGGTGGAACGACTCGTATTCATAGTCTAACATTAGAGGAGGCGGTACCATGCTCCCAAAACCCTAAACCCTACTTGTTAAGGTTCCTACCTTAGGTACCCAGCTGGGAGAGAGCCCGTTTTCCGAGAGAGTTTGGGGTAGGTATGATTGGGCCTGCAGGGCTGTATTGTTTGAGGTTTTAAGGTTTAGGGGTTTAGGGTTCAGGGCTGTGTCATGAGGCAGGGTTCCGGGCGCTGTGACCACTTGCAGGATTGAGGGAGGTTTGCAGGGTCGAGGATTGTGCCTCACCCCGAGTCTACTGGATGCTTGACTTGGGGGTTTTGGCAGGGCGCGGTTATGAATGGCTGCTGAAACCTCGCCCCAAACCCTCGCAAGACCCGGACTAGACACGCTTTCCCTTCCAAACCCGCAAACAGGACAAAATCCGTTTTGAAGAGTCCACTTAGTATTTTCTGAGGTTAAAAAAACATGTTTTGAAGAGTCCACTTAGTATTGAGCCGGCCCAGTTCCAAACCCCCTGCACAAGAACGTACAGCACTTAACACAAGGTGAACCGATGTTCTTAAGGCAACCTGAACCCCTCTGCACCCTCCCGAACACACCCCAAACCCTATAAACACAGAGCAACCCCCTAAGAACCTAAAGCCCTTGCACCAGAACCTTAACCTTCAAAACATCTCAAAACAAGGCGCTATACCTGAAACCACACAACCCCGACGCCGAGGCTCTCTTCGTGAGAGTCCGGCCGCGGCGCGCATCCCAGTACTTGGAGTCGTAGCTGAGATCCTTTGGCTTATAAAAAGTTTGGGGCTGCGCTGGTGTGATCGGAGTTTGTTGTTAGGTCCGTGTTGTTGTGCTTGCGTTGCAACCCTTTTTTCAGCATGGGCTTGGATTGTTGCAACACTAGACCCTCAACGATCAAATTTGTCAGGGATGTCGGCTCCCGCAGTGGCGATGCTTGGCGGGGTCATGAGGCTGCCAGGATTTAGGTAAACCGACAGGATAGAAGTCTGGCGAGTCCTTTGGAAATGGACTGTTGGATTGGCTTGGGCTCCTGGAGTGGCCATGTCAACCGGTGCCACCCCGGGGCCCGTCGCAGCCTTCTGTCGATTCCCTCCCCTCTAAGGTGTGTGGACCCCCGGGGCGGCACTAAGGGCCTCCTAACAGGCCCGATGAGCACCCACACCTTGAATCGTCAGCTGCGGCGGGGTGACAGTGCCCCATCCCTTGTTTCCCTTTCTCCCAGGCCTTCTCGCCCTCCTCTTGCCAGTCCGCGCCAGCAGAGGACTGGAGGGATGTGGCCTGGGTAGACCCCTGGCTCCCTTCGGGGGACCCCCGTTCTGGCCACCTGCTCGCCCCCGTTTCCAACTTTACAGCTACCTCTGCTCTGTTCGGAGACGGAGGCTTCTCCGCGGCGCAAGGCGCCACTTTCTGCAGCCAAGCGCGCGGTTTTGGCCAGACCGGTCGGTATTGGGAGGACTCATCGTGGGCTTCTCAACGCCTGAATCTGCGGCGCGTTTTGCGCGATGTGGCATCTTCGCCAACTCTGTCAGAGCCGCCTGGAAACAACTGCTAGCCCAGTATATCCCGCCGTCTCGCTGGGGAGAGGCAGAGCTGTGGTCTAACCTCCTGCCCGAACTATACCTCTCTCCAGTCACGCCTGCGCCAGAGCTGCACGACTGCAGGCTCTTTCCGCTGTTCCGGCCCCCCTGGAGCCCAATTCGTGCCAGGCTCCTGTCCCTCCTCTCCGCGTGTGTGTGTGTTTTTTTTTTTTTTTCTCTTGACGCGGTTGGCTCACGAGGTTCATCAGCCCACACTGGACCCCGCCCTTTCCTCGCAGTGCCATTTTTCCGGCCGCAGGCTCCCCTATCCCCTTTCCCAACCTTGTCCAGGGCAGATGTGGCCGCCCTTGCGGACACGTGGGCGACGCAAGCGTTCACCCCACAGGGCTCCTAGAAGTCCCATGTAGGGCCGTATAGCTCCGCTTCTTTCGTCTCGCGTTACGTAGCGCCCCTCGTGCACGTCGTTCCCGACCCCGCGCCTCGCTCCGAGATGTTGGGTTCGGGTAGCCGACCCTCGTATTGCGGCAGCCGCGCTCCGAGTTCGGGGGTATGAAAGTACGACCCCCGTGCAGCAGCCCCGATCTTACATCTGTTTGCAATGCAGGGCTCCACATGTCGCTCCAGACTCTCTTCCCGCTCTGAAACCGGGGGTCTGGACGCCCCCCGTGGCGCGGTTCTCAGCCCCCGCCCGCTTCATCAAGCTGGGCCCCTGCGTCTGCCCAAAATCTCTTACCATATGTTACTCCCGCAACTTCCCGTGCTCCATACTCCGCGCAGGTCTTCCCTCCTGCTTCCCAGTTCCCTCGCGCCCGACCTGTCCTCCGCGTCCTGCTGCAAACCAGGTTTCCCGTTAGCTAAACACCCCCTGTCCAGAGTTTGACGTCTGCCCGCTGCCCGGCTGACACGCCGGAAGACACCTTGCAACGCCTGCTCCTCTTAGCCTCACAAGCACTCCGTGCGGAGGGCCTCGCCACCCTGCAGCGAGACTTCCTTGTGCCGCTCCCGGTGTAAAAAGAGTGGCCCTCGCCTCTGTTCTCTGCATGCTTTAGTGGCCTTCGGCCTCTCCCGCCTTTTTTTTTTTTTGTTTTTTGTTTGTTTTCGTTTTCCTCGCCCGCCTTCTCCGGTTCCCACTGTATGTCGCCCCTCCCCTCCTCTTCTGGCCCGAACCCCCCTTTTCGGGTCGAAAACCCAGTCTTGGGCCTCTTCTGGGCCAAACCCCCCTTTCCGGGCCGTAAACCCAGACTTGGGCCACTTCTGGCCCAAACCCCCCTTTCCGGGCCGAAACCCCCGTCTTGGGCCACTTCCGGCGGGTTTCATGTCCCCCCCTTTCTCTCGAGGCCAGTCCAGGCCTTCCACGTGCTGCAGTCCCCAGCTGTAGCAGATACGACCTTGGTATCCATCCCGAGTATAGACTCTAGACTATCCCCCTCTGGAACCTCCCGCGGAGGGGGCCGATGACGCCTACGGAGGCCCCCCGAGATGCTGGGCGGGGAAGAGTGGCGGAGGCCGCAGCTACTGCTGCAGGTCGAACTCTACCTACCTACCTACCAACCGGTGCCACCTCACCAAGATGCACAGGTCTCCTATCTGGAGTTGGCCTTCCACTTCACCTGGACAACTGGGATTGCCCCGCCGATGCCCGTTCCAGGGAGCCACGGACAGGGATATCATGCCTTGAGTTGTGCTTTGGTTCAGTTACAGCCGTGCCCGGTGACCACCCTGGTGACAGTATTTGCTGCCGCCCTCAAACAGTTGGGTCGCAGATACGATTTCTGTGTACTGCCAGGCGTGGAAGTAAAGGACATCCCTCACCTACAATGGTTCGGCATCACTGCTTGAAGGGGCGGGGGTGTTAGTAATTGTATATGCAGGTTGTTAATTGTTTGGCACAGTTAGCAAATGACTTATATGAGATGTGTAAGTGTAGTTATTGAACTTAGCTATGTTGAAGTTAACTTGGTTAGCTAAGTGTATTTATATGAAAAAGATAAGTGAGCTAAGTGATCTAAGTTGCATGAAGCATGCTGCTCAGAGACGCAATGCAGGGCTTTAAAGCTCGCATGCAGTTCTCTTTTTTACACCTGCGGGACTGCGACAATGGCAGCATTGCCCGAAATGCTGTAAGGGCATGTGGCCCGGAGCAGTCGGGTTTGCACGAGGCCACAATCGTCGGAGACTTCATACATACAGCCATGGACATGTGTCCAGAAGGTAATGTGCGACCATACAACTTTCTCGCACATTACATGATAAGCCACTTTGCCTACGGCAGTGACCCCATCCAGATCCATCAAGGCCAAGTCGCCGACAGCCACGGTGAAGTTTCCTCCATGCACTGCCTGCCTGGCTGTGAAGACTTCACCCTGGACCCGGATCGTGTTGTGTATCTCTGTTTGCAATCTGGCAGGAGCTGGTCTCACAGGGTCGACCAAGCGAACTCCTTGGCCTGGGAGGTATACACCCTCTGACAGACTTTCCATGTGACCATGGAGTACATCTTGTAGGATGCTCCTCTCAAAGGTTCTGCTTGTATCCAAAATTTCATTCGAAATTTTTTTGATGATTTTATGTTTTCTTTCGTGCACAAAGCAGCTGAGGAGGACCTGATGCTTGGCCAGTTGCAGCGCCAAATGGCCTGCCAAGTGACACTTTGGCACCCACCACTCATCTCCATACCGACTTTTCGCCAGATCGAGATGCCTTTTGATGAGCTGCTGCAACTCCAGGGGGGTAAATGCTGAAGGTTTGGCATTGATCGCTTGCAAAGCATCAATCACCTTGCACAAAGCCAACCAAACCTAGCAAGAGTCCCGGATATCTCTGCTGCAATTTGGCAGCACAAAGACTAGCACATAGAGTCGCAGCAGCTGCATAAAGTTCAGAGCCTCGCTGGCTCCACACTTCAAGGTTTCGCTTGGCTTTCGCTTCTGCAAGATATCCTTTGCAGCAGCACCTCGCAAACGAGAAGGCCAGGTAAAACCATTTGCGAAGCGATCAATGTCATTGTGCTTCCAGCCATGGTTGTGAAGCTCTCCAAGAAAAAACCCTGTCAGAACATTGAAGATGCCATTGACTAAATAGACATGGAAGTAATCGAACATCACACACTCGATGACCGGAGGCCCGTATGCTGCATGTGCCAGCAATCCATCCTCTTTGAAATTGAACCCCATTGCTGTTTGGAGTTGCAGGAATCTGTCTTTGTTGAGGACCCTCTCTTGCCTTCGCAAGAAGTCCATGGTGTCTCGTATAGACTAGGGTGTGTGCATCCGAAAGCAACTCATGTCGGTTTCCAGGCCGGACACCATATTGCCCCGACTCCTTTCAGCAATGCTGCTTTTGTGGTCCACGGCGTTTTGGCATTGAACACAGAATATGAGCCCACTGGCTCCTTTGTTGAAAAGGGTAGCCTTAATTGCAGCTTCGTCGGATATGATGATCTTCAAGTCGGCAAAGAGCATACGTGCTTGTCCAGGGCACTGCAACACAAGACCTTTTCTGAAGTCAGGTCTCTCAAAGAACAAGGCTGCTAGCTGCCTGAAGAGCACAGTCATGCCGCCGAGATCTGCGACCAGAGAGCTGCGAATGGCACAGAGAGTGAACCAGCAATTTTCGCAACCCATTGCATGCTGTCCCAAAGGGAGCAGGCTCCAATATACAGCCTGGACCTTTCTCCGGTTCGAGTGCTTGAGTTGGTTGCCCGAAGCCAGCTCGTCGGAATACCACACCAATCCCCATGGTTGAAGAATGCTGGGGGGTGTGGCATCCATGGCCCTCTCCAGGAACTCGCCAAATGGTCGACATCGCTCTGTCGCCCAGGCAAGCATTGCAGCTGGGTTCAAGACAGGAAATTCAAACTCCACCCCAGTTTCGGCAACACAGTTGAAGTCGCATAGGATCTCGCCATAAGCAGTTTGGTAGCTCCGAGTCTTCTCATCCCGGGCCCGCTTCAGTGTTCGGCGACTCGTCCCAGATGGCAACTCGGGCAGCTCTTTGAGTTCCTGCAAGACCTGACTGAGACCTCGCTGGGATACATATGATTTCCTTCCCAAGCAGGAGAGCGAGGAGCTCCCGGCGGCAGCCATGGGGTCTGCTGGCGAGCTCTTGGCCCTGCCGAGCGACCCACTACTTTGAATGCAGATTCATACATATATATATATATATGTATATCTGTATAAAAGGTATACTATATATAGGAAAAGTGGATGGGAGCATGCAGGCACTGTGTACGTACCTTATATATCTATATATATATATATATACAGAGATATGTTTTGTTTACATGTATATATGCATGCTCTTTGTTCCTGCAGGTTTCCAAGCACATTGCTGCAACGGTGCAACCCCACTGCGAGCAGTCCGGGAAACTCCAGTGCAAGGCCAAGACAACCTTTAACCATAAACCCGAAACTAAATATTTGATATATATATACATGTATACACAGAAACCCGAAAGCTATAGATATATAGCATCCGAGTATTGATTTGTACACATATATATACATGTATATACAGTTATATATATATATAGTATATACCACACCAAACCTAACCTAACACCAAACGTGATCCTGAGACACATCTTAATAAATCGCAAAGCCATATATAATATATACATGTACAACTCGAAAGCTTCAACATAGCTCTCGAAGAAGGGTCCACATTCGCACCCTCCTAAAAGGACACCCCTGTATAATATATGTGTGTGTATATATATATATATATATATATATATATATATATATCAATATATATTCAACCCATATATATATATATATAAAGTATATATAGGCTCCTATATATATATATATATATATATATATACATATACATCCCATATGTAAAGTATATCTATATATATATGTATATAACACATATATAATATGCCACGAAACAAAAACCCGGATCGTGCAGGCATCCTGCACCACCGCTTTTGACACCTGCCAGGATCGCTTCGGTCTTTCCCTCCGTGGCAAGCGATGCTCCCAACATTATACCTCCCGAGGTACAATGCCTTTAATGTACACACAGCCTTTGTGAAAGATGAATAATAAGGTGCATGCTTCCTGGAGGCTCGCGAACAAAACTTTGCTGATGCTGGAAGACACCAAAACACGTCAACATGCATATAGACTTAAGATGTATACACTCTGCCTGTAGCCTCCAAACTCTCACCCTATATAGGACTCCAGCTGTGCATGCTTTCAGCAGCTGTTGATGCAATCACGGGCCAAAGCACGACGGTGTGCAGCCGGGCTTTTCCCGGCACTTGGCACACCCATTGGGTCGCAGCTTGATGCGAGCCGAGAAAGTCATGCATCGGACCTCTTCTCGAGTGAACTTCTGCAAAGCCTTCTGGACCTTCTTCGGCTGCGACTTCGCCTTCGCCTTGCAAGCAGCCTTGGCCTTCGCCTTGGGCTGCGACTTTGCTTTGGGCTGGGACTTCATGGCCGTGCACTTGGCCTTCGCCTTAGCCTTGGCCTTGGCTTTACCCTTGGCCTTGGCAGCAGCCTTGGGCTTCTTATTTGCCTTGTGCTTCGCCTCGTTTTCCTTGGCCTCGGCCTCGACGGTGCTGTCGAACCCTTTGTTGTCGCCCTTCCAAGCTTGAAGCATTTCATCTGCATGTTGTGCAGCACTGACAGGATCCTTGCTGGCCAGCACTCCCTGTTGCTCGGCCTGCTTTGTTCCGCTGCCCTGTGCCGGTTCATTGGTAACTGTAGGAAGCTGCAAGGCCTGCTGTTGAGCAGGCGAGGAGGACATCGTCCCAGACGAGGCGGCAGCAGCTGGGTCGCCGAAGATTTTCAACCCAGGCAATCCATCGTTCTTCTTCGCCAATTGCTGCTGCTGGTTGAACATGTTAGCTGCCATGCTGCCCCAGAACTGCATCATACCCTGCATGGTGTGGGGCATGTGCATTGCCGGGCCTGCTGCTGGACCACCCAGCACCATGGCAGTGTTGCTCTTGTGGAAAGAGAGGCTTTTGTTACTGCCACGAAGAGCATCACGGGCCAGCACCATTGTTCCAGGCAGCTCACCTCCCAAGGCATCTGCGAAGCGATCTCGGGTGTGTGGTGGAAGATCCTCAGGCCGAGTGTACTTGGCGACGAACTCGCCACAGGAAGCATCTTTGAGCATGGTCTTCACCTTCTTCTTGAGGCACACGACAGCCGAATGGAACTCGTCGGGGCTCTGCAAGCCAGTATTGTTGCAACTCTGCAGGGTCTTGATGATGTGTCCCACAGACTGTTCTGATGGCCAGAACATCTCCAGTCGAGCCATTATCTGAGCAGTGTGAGTCAGCCTCATGACGAGAGTGTCGTCGCTGGACAAAACTCTCCGGTCCTCGGCGCCCAAGAAACCCCAGAAGTTGAGAATTTCCTGGTTCTTCTTCTTGGCCTTGGCATTTGCTGGAGTGCTGCCTGCCAAGGTCTGGGAGACGGCTGCACCCAGGGCCTGCTTCTGCTCGTACCCTCCTCGACTGTGATGTGGCTTTGACGAATCGTTCTGATGGCGACCTCGCTCTGAGCAGCCAAGAGAGAAGTCCATTGATCTCCCATGATGGGCTGCTGGGTCTGGAGGAGCTGGTTCAGCTGTCGAAGGAAAGCAGCTGCCATTGCACGGCCGGATATAGCACAGATGCTCTGCACAAAGCGAGCTGCTGTAGCCCTGCTTGCGAACACCTGTCTATATAGAGCAGCAGCGGGCAGCAGGCAGATGATGGAGTGCATGTGCTTTGCAACACACAAGCATGCAGCCTGCCACTGGAGAAGTCTTTCACATTGCATGCAGTCACAGACCGGAAGACTTCTTCGCCAAAGGGGTCTCGGTTTCGCAGGCAGGGCTCTGAGCTCGCCAGCAGAACCCGTAGACACCCTCAAGAGCACAGCCATGTTACTACAGTATACCGACACCTGCAGGCATGCAAGTGTGTAATATATGTGTATGTAAGTTCAGAGATTCAGTCCATTTCATATACACATAAATATATATACACATATATGTATGTATATATATATATATATATATATATGTGTATATAAGAATATATGAACGATATGTTTTGGTATCTGTATATGTGTATATATATATATATATACATATCGTGTATATATACATATATATATATATATATATATATATATGTATGTGTGTGTGGGGTAGATACACATCTCACATGTAATAGGTATATATGCAGAGTGTGTAAAACTGTGTATGTATACGTACTTCAGTGAAATCCATGCAGCCACTTTGCTATGTAGCAGTCTCTTCCTTCACAGCCAACCCCCCCTCCCTCCAACCCCCTTGTACCTTCCCTCGCTCACTCGTTCTCTGCCTCTGTCTCTGTCTCCCTCTCTCCCTCTCCTCGTTTGTTGCTCTTTGTCGCAGACACAAACACACACACACACACACACACACACACACACACACACATGTTGCCATGGGGGTCTGTGTGCCTCATGGGCCTGACCAAACGGTGCACACTCGGAGGATGGGCGGTTTTTCTTCAAACTGGCCCATATGGTCTGTGGTCGTGAAACAGACACAGGACGAGGCCCCGGTAGCCCAAAGCCTCGGCTGTACAGGGGGATATAGCCCCCTCGCCGATTCGTCTTCTGCAGCCCAAAGCTATTTCTTACCTATAGAGTTTCCCTACTTATTGCCTAGAGAGGCCAGAGGACAGGGAACCACGAGGGCACTGGGAAAGCAACCCTTTATGCATGCATAAGGGGCCTGACCCCAAAAACCCGAAACCTTTATGTATGCATAAAGGTTTGTGCCCTTGGCCCTGCCGAGGTTTATGCATGCATAAGCCCCGCCCTAGGAAACTGAACCCAGCCATATGCATGCATAAAGTTCCGGTCTATTTTGCTTAAGGGGCTTTATGCATGCATAAACCCCGGCCATCGGGACTGGTAGCCCTGACCCTCTGTGCCCGAAGCGGCGAGCCGGAAAATGCCCCCAATTTCAGGTCCTTCGCTGCTCACAGCATGCAGGACCTTGGGATCCAAGCAAGCAGGCCAGGCCGTATATAGAGCAACACAGGCGGCCTGAGCTTCCAACTATTAGCGGCTCCCCTGGTCTCGAGGCCACAAACCAGGGG